AAATTAGTAGAGTACCAAATACGATAGAATAGTCCAACCAAGTAAAAGTTTCTTTTATTTCTAAAGATAGGTGATAATATTTCAGAAGACAACATTTCCATACTGAAACGAATTTATCTACCACATAACTTTGAATACTGAAATCAAGATAAAAACATAACTCCTGCCTAGCACTAAGCGCTTGGGCGGAAACGCGATGCGGTGAGCTCTGGTGTCAACTTGTGCAATCCTAATGCGGCATTGTAGTGATAGCTTGAGTATTGTGGTCATGCTTAGGAGAACATACATCTGCAAAATTCGTATGCGAGCGTAAGCCTGCGCCGCGGAGGGCGCGTGGTGGTAACGAATTCGCGCCATCATCTACTATCATTCCATTAGGTAATGACGCGAAATCGTCAGCACCACGCGGTACAGGCCGTCGCTTGAAGTTGGCGCCGTAAATATGAAGTAGGACTCGTAATTTATCGTGGGTCCGTACGTATCCGGCTAGCTCTTTCGTGCATTGCGTGAACAAGCTGACGGACTGTTCGACCAATGGCAGGGCTCGTTGCGGAATTCTGCTTCAGAAAATCAAATAACATCCAATGAGATAATTGCACAAATTCCAAGACCGCGTTTCCATCGACAGCGGAACCGTCAGCTCCAGCTGCAACTCCGGTACGTACCCACCTCTACCGTATCTTGCCGTTGGATCTTGTGCTCACTATTGTATCTTGTTTACTTGCTACAGACGTCTCCTCCTGTTGCTCGAGCCTCCACCACATCTGCAGTCATCAAGGAAGCTCCTGCTGAGGAACCTGCTGAGTTGTCGTCACGGACGACAACTCCACCTGTCTCGTTGATAAGCAGCGGCACCTTGTTCTTGCCATCATCACTTCACTAACGCTCGTCATTCGTAGTCCACAACACCCCCTGTCATTGTTATGACTGCCGAAAATCCAAAACCCTTTGGTGACTCAGACTCCGACTGGGATTCACCGCCGGTTCCTTCGCCGGTGAATGAGACTCGACCTAGCTCCACGGTACGTATTTCGTAGAATCGTTTCACTCCCACCTGGCTGCCTTCCAATCGTTCCGGCGACCAATCTTTGTGCTGCAGATCCTTCTGCGGCTGGTCCTCTCGTTTCGCTTCCTCTGAGTGAGGAGCGAATTTGCGAACTGCTGAACACGTCATCGCACTACACGCTGGAAAGCGTCTGCCAGGCGATGGATGGCCCGGCTCGCCGAGATGCTGCGGTTTTACGCCACGCTCCACTGGGGACCGAATGTCCGTGGTCGTACGACCTTCAAGCGCCGACAGGATGATGCGCGATCGTTCGAGGACATCCTAATGTGCAGCGTACCCGTCCCTGCCGATGCCTTGACTGAGGTTGGACGAGAGCTAGCTGCAGCTCAAGCATCCCTCAAATCGGCGGAACCTTCTCGTGCCGTCATGGAAAACAAGCTCTTCTAGGAGCAGTATGCTCGTGCTAACGCGGAAATTTAGCTCAACAATTCTCAGCCGACCGTGACGCCGTGCACAAGGAGATCAAGCTGGTCAAGTCGCGCGAGGCCTCGTTGATCGCCCAGATCAGCGAGATGAATGCTGTGATCAAGAGCCACCAGGAGATGTACGACCGTCTCGAGAACCGGATGCAGTTGGCAATTCGCAGCAACACGATTTTGACCAAGGAGGAGAACCATGCTTGCTCCGAGTATCTGGTTTGAATTCAAGCGTTCAAGAAATCTCACGCAAACCTTCACAAGCTCCTGTCCACTTACTGATCCGAATGAGACGTCGACTGTCTCTCCTGCTCACTCGCCGCCTGCCGCGAAACTTCTCGCTTCACCAGTTTCCGGCGGGAAGTAGGGCAAAGGCAAGGCCAAGCGACAACGCACTGGCAGCGATGACGAGGATGTGGATTTCGGTGGTGGTGACTCTGGTGAGGACGCTCCTGAAGAGGGCCGTGAGTATTCGACAACTTTCTCTTCAGCGACGACTTCCCAACCACAGCCGAAGAAACAGAAGGCCTCTCCTCCTGCCACTCCTCCGACTCTGACGGAGAAATCTCAGCCGTCACCCAAGTCATCGTCGAACAAGCCAAGTGTGCCTCTCGCGGCAAGACTGGCTCTGCTCCCAAGAAAATAGATGTGGCGGTGTCTATACTGAGTCAATGTCGAGTACTCGCCTCACCCCAAAGCGCAAGGCCGCCATGGGTTCCGAATTCCGGTCCTCATTTTGCTTGGCTGGAGGTTCTCGTTCAGACATCAAGTCTCTTACTTCCGAGTCTTCGGCTGGCCAGTCAGTCAAGCCCCCGTCTTCCAAGTCCAAGAAATCTCGTTCTAAGAAGACCGGCACCAAGGCTAAACCTGCCTACTCATCGACGGATGAATCTGTCTTTTCAGTTTCATCTGAGTCCGAGTCTGAGTCGCGTTCGGATCTAGATTCTTGTGCGTCAGAAGGCTCTGAGGCTCACGAAGATGGTGTGGTTCTCGTGCAACAAGGAGCGCGCGGACCGAGCCGACAACTTGCGGACATTCCTCCCTGACCGTATGTGGCCTTGGTGTGTCGGTCCCGATTCCTCACTCCCAATAGAAACTCTACTGGACCCGACTCTCCCATTTTATACCATTGAGTATCTCATGTGGATTCATGGGTCGGCAGATTGGTATGCAGATGCTGCGCTGGTGGACGAGTCGGAGCTGTGTCGTGTGGATTGGTTGACTTGTCCGGAGCAGCACCCGTACAACACGGTATATGTTCCGTGCAACGCTCACGTGCCGCTCTTCCTTCCTGCCAACTCGACTGTCGAAGTTCTCGGTCCACGCATCGTCCCTGACTCGTCTTTGGACCCGGAAGTAATCGACTCTTCACGGGATCGCGCCTTTCGTGGAGCCGACGAGGATGAAGAGATGCAGGATGGCGAAGTTGGATATGACGATGCTGACTCCGTCGCCACTATGGACTTGAATCAAGATTCGTCTGACGATACCCTGGTCGATCCTCAAGATGGAGCATCTGAAGCTGCTTTGATCCTGCTCTTTGCGGAGTCGTCTCCGCCGCCGGAGTCTGACGTTGTCGCCGAGATCTGACTTACTAGTTTGTTGTTTCACAGTTGTGCATTGTAGTTAATCGTTCAATTCTTTCTTCGTCACTTCCATTTCCATCGCATTTCGAGAAATCCACTCCATATCCATTCATACATTCATATAGGAGCAATATCAATTTTCGTCTGGCATTATGAGCTGCTTTGCCTCACACCGAGGTCGTTCTTCATGATTTTTGGACCTTCACTCCTCGTCAGCGCCTTGGACCATCTGTAGACGTTGCTCGCTCTTCTTGTTCCGCAAGTAGTCATACAGAAGCCCTCCACACGACAGATTAGAGGCTGGTTCCATGTAGTTGACTCATAGCCAACCCATTTCACCTCAAATTCGCGCACAGGTCTGTCCGTGCTGGTTGACATTGGCGTTCTGTCGTTCAAAATCGCTTCCACCTAAAATTCGCCGGCAACTTCATCTGGCTCCCAGCTGTCTTCAGGCAGCAACTCTTCGTCGAAGTCAAATCTCTCTTTCTCAGCAACATCTCGAGATAGTGGTGTTTTCGGCCGATCACAAAACTCATTCACAGCCTTCAGTCGAGAGAGGTGCACCACTGGGTAGAACCGATGCCAGCTTTTATCTGGTAACTCGAGTTCGTACGCGAACTCTTCGACATTCAGTTTCACTCTAAATTGACCATGCCATCGGTGAGCCAGCTTCTTAACTAATCCTGGCTTCACTCATTCCATATACAGCCAAACTCGGCTTCCAGGTCGAAATAGAGACTTGGGTCCGAGTCGTCGTCGGACGAGTCATCGTTCACACTTTTGGTAACTCGGCTTGCTTATTACGGCTGAGCTTCTCGTTATGAATTCTAGCACGTCGGACCTTCTCCGTAGCTTGGTATTCCTTTGCCATCGCGAGAGCAATTTGCTGCTGGTGGTTGATTTCTCGTCGTCAGGCTAGCGCCTCAGTCTGCTTTCCAACACCTCGCTTCATAGAGATTGTCATTGCTCGTAGCTGGTCATATCATAAGTGTTGTTGATCGCAAAGACTAGTCGCTCAGCGATCTCATCCCAGTCTTGCTGCAACGGGTCCTCCACATAGACCTTGACCGACGGCATCACTATCTTGACCGATCGCTCTTGCTGTCCATTTGCTTGTGGGCGATAGCTCAGCGTCGATCACGACCGCGCTTGTATTAATTCAGCGAAGGCTTGGAAGACATCGCTTATAAAGCGGGGGTCTCGGTCATGACGAATAAGAGACGGTGCACCAAATCGTCTATAGATGCATTCCTCGAACACCTTGGCCACCGTCAGGGCATCGGTATCCGACATCGCTTTAGCAACCACAAACCCAGTAAACGAGCACTGCCATAACAACAGGGCAGTGTTCCCTCGACGAGTTCTCGGCAGAGGGATCACAAAGTCCATTGACATCACCTGGAATTGTCGCTCTGCGAGCATATTGCCAGGTGAGTAGTCCTTGAGCTGCGGCAAGCTCTTACTCGAGCTGCAGTCGAGGAATGATTTCACATGTTTCTCCACATCTGCGTAGACACCGATTCAGTAGTAGTCGTGTTTTACTCTCTGGTAATAGCGAACGACACCTTGCTGCCCTCCTTCGATGGAGTCATGACAGTTATGTAGCACTCCTTGGATCATTGTGGTTGGCACCACGACCCTCAACGACATCTCGGGCAGGTTTTCTTCGACCTTGCTTCTACTCACACCCGTGTAATACATGACATTGTCGCTTGACAGCACAATGTTGTTCGCCCATTTACAGGCCTCTCTAGCCTCTTTGTAATCATCGCGGTGTTTTCGCCTATCAGGACAGTTTTCAGGTTCGACCACCTCAGCTCCTTGTCCTGGGCCTGGGCGATACGGCGCCTTCGCTTCTCTTGGACTGTAACTGGGTCAATGTCATCGGCTGTTGATTCGTATCGGACCTCAGCACTTGGTCGTTGCGCCTGCATTGCCGAGTTCTCGGTGGCTGCCTCAGTTGCCCCAGCAGTAGTATTCCTTCAGGAACTTCGTCTTCAAAGTGCACTCTTTTCTTCTTGGTCTTGGTCTGACCACGAGTTGTAGCTGGGACTTCAGCGCTTTCTTGGTACGCAAAGGTCTTGCGTTGTAGCAGGATATCGCTGTCCATAGCATGGATACGATGTGTCTTTCCGTCTAGAATTTGAAAAAAAATAACGGAACCCGTGTTTTCGACCTTGATGTCGCCTGACGACGGCTCATAGATCATTTCTTGGATTCTGTTCAACTCCTTGAGCTCAGCCTTACGGTGGTCATTGAGCACCACCTTTGACACCTTCGACTCCAATGCTTCACGAGCGAGCGAGTCAGCCGCTGCGTTGTACTCACGCACCACATGCAGATATCGGACTGACTTGAGCTCGGTGGCGGTTCAGGAGTGTCATCAGCGAATTCTTGCGACATGCAATCACCCCTAGTGATCGCTGATTTGCCAACCTCGAGTCTCCAACGATGCCTTAGTCTTAAACACCATGTTCCATGACTGCGACAACCCCATGGTTCATGCCGCTGTGCCATATTCACCGTAGTTTTCTGCCACTCCGGAAGCTTCCACACTATCCATGAGCAGCAACCGTAGCCACCATTCTTCTCTGTCTTAGCGGAACCATCACATGAGACCACAAAAGCCTTCATAGTCGTGTGGTAGTTGAGCGTACAGCAGACTTGAGTCCTACCGAGTGGTCGGTGAACCTTTGGTAGGCGGTGCCACAAGTGCTAGCGAGTCGTCCAATTCCACGAAATTAGTAATCAATGACTGGAGTAATTGAGTAAAGACACAGTCCTTCTCCGAACTCGCTGCACTTCCAATTGCCATGGTGACAACAGCACCGCAAATTGCACCGCTCGTCCGAAAAGCGACTTGGATTTGTGAACCCATCCAAGTGTAACGAATCGGGAGTGCACATGCGGTGTCTTTCCCGCCAGCTGGGTGTAACAAAACTTGAGCATCAGCAACAAAGCTAGGACCTCCTTCTCAGCCGAGTCATAGCCCATCTCGGCATCCTTCAGAACCCGTCCGCAAAAGAAACAGGATGTAGTTTGTCGTCGTACCTCTGCACCAAGGTTGCACTAAACGTACAGCTTGATGTGCACCTCTTTCTTCTCATCGAAATGTCGTAGGATAGAACCTTCAGCTACCTTTCGTTGGAGCGCAGCAAAACTCTCTTTGGCTGCAGCCAAGTCATCCCCTTCGAAGAAATCGTCTTCCTACGACTTATATAGCGCGGCTCCATAGACTGCGAAGTCGTGGATGAAGCGGCTGTAATAATTAAGCGAGCTGAGGAAATGTTGCATTCCTTTTTTCGACTTGGGGAACGGCAACTTGGTATTGGCTGTCATCTTCTTGGGATCAGCCCGTATTCCTTCAGGCGACACCTCATGAGAGAGGAAGTCAACCTTGGACTGACAAAAGATGCTTTTAGTAAAGCTGACACTGATCCTGCATTCCTCAAACCGCGCCAGCAACTTGTCCAGAGTATCCAAGCAGTCATCAAATGTAGTACCACCAAAACAAATGCCGTCTACGAAGGATCGACGCTGGAACACTGAGACTAGCGACGATTCGTCAGGTTCATCAGTCGCGAGCATGTCCGCATATGGTTCGTTCACCATCCGTAACGCCGGATCCAACTCTATCGACAACTGTCGATCCGCATCGAACTTGATCCGAGTCGTCGTTAGGGCAAAACCCGAGTTATCGTCGGGAAATCGTTAGCGTTTAGATGCTACTTCAGCGAATTTCATTTGTTCAGCATATCGTCCCCATCCACATTTAGGCTGTACAAAACCCCATAGCCCATAACCGATCATCCTTTGGCAGATCATGGGAGCATTCTTCAATCTGAATGGCATTCGGAGCCACTCAAAGTGCCCCAAAGCGCAAACAAACCCTGAAGTCTTGCGCGCACGCATTGCCATCATAATCGTCCAAAATCCAATGATGGCGTCCAACGAACAGAACCACATGTAACTTCCAGATCGGTCAACAGGTCATCGACCAACAGCATGCCGTATTACATGATTGCGGTGACCGCATTGACAATCTTGTAATCAATGCATAGTCGAATATCTTGACCGTTCTTTTTCAACACAATCACAATATGCGACGCCCATTCACTGTCCGACAGCACAATGAGGCCGGCCTTCAGCCGTTCTTTGAGTAGCTCAAAGAGCTTTTGTAAGGGCATCAGCGGAATTTACCTCGCTCGTTGCTTAATGGGTGCGTGCCCTTGGACATCGATGTCACATACCACCCCATACGCTGGAGGTGATAACGCATTACCCCTTGAAATCATGATCGCTTCGTGCTTTTTAAGTACATCGTCGAGTCGTCGTTGCTGGTTGCCGACAAAACTCGAGTCCTTCACATTCGAAGCGGTATAATCAAGCTCATGAACAGAGGGCTCTGTGAAGTCAGGCAAAATGCCAAATCTTGAGCATAGTCTTCCAACGAGATGTAGTGCGCCTCGTGTACCGCATAGTCGTCGTCAGCTGGATCGTCATTGCCCTCAGTGGACAGTACGTGCATAACACACATGAACGTGTGTTCCAGATCAGGGATAGCTGCGTCGGGCGATTTCTCTTTTGTGTGGATTGCAGTCGGTGGATTATTACCATCACAGCCATTATCAGTTGAAGTAGGAGTTGAGGCTACAAATGCGACTGCAGCGCTAACCAGATCATTGCTCACTGGCGAGCCGTCAGTCGCACTGTCGGCGCTCCGAGCCACAGGCTCCATACTCCACTGTTTGTCCTGTGATAGTGAGTCGTCACCATCACTCGAGTACTCGTCGAGTTTCTGCAATAAGCTAGTTGTCCATGTGTAGGGCTGACGCACAACCACAGGCGGCTGTGATGCCAGCCATCTTTCGTACAGCTCACACTCTAGCTTGAACCAGGTTTCGTCATGTGAGCCAGCATAAGCTAACACCAGCCAATACTCGTACTTCCGAGAGTCGATCGGTACGTAGCCAGCTTGCTTTGGCATAAAGCCTCAGGGTACCCAGGCTATCCCATTAAGATGTGCTGGACAGTACATCACTATGTCAGTGATATTCGTCAATTGTACTTGAGTTGGCTACCCTGTCCGGTACCGAATGATCGTCAGGATCGGCGCGGCAGTGTGCCGCACCCAGACGTCGTGAGTTCCTAAAGATGTTTTTCATTTCTGCAACCGAAACACAATCCATTCTCCTGCTGGTATCTGCAGGTTCTTCGTCGGTCCACCTGTGACATGCATCCCTTCAGGTGTATCTTTGTCAGCGCTTAGCTTTCACCAGCAGCGCCATTTCCCCCCTGGAAGCTTGGCCGTCGCGTTGAACAGATCCAAGCGTATTCCAGCTGGTATCATAAAGTCGGTACCAAACACTACTTCTGATCCGGCACTGTGGTCCATGACCTAGGACTCGAACTCATAGACTGTGTTCCAGATTATAGTAACTTTGACTTTCACTCCAGTTGTCGTTGACATCTTTCCTTCTTGAATCCCTTGTACCTCGAGTTGTCGACCATATACCTGCATAGGTTCCAGTCGCAGTCATCGCGCCAACTTTGTTGAGATTATGTCAGTGTCCAAGAGGATCGAAGTCCTCACATCGTTTACTGCGCCGTGCAGGAGAGCTCGCATTCTCACTCGTCGGGCGAATCTCTGTGACGACCACCATCCCATACGCTCCCCAGGAAGCAACTACACCGTCTTGGTGTGCATAGGTGCAGCTTCACCCGCTTCACATATGCTCACCACCCAGTCATCGTTCACCACTTTTTTGGTTGTAGTAGTATCTTCATTCATCCAATGCAATTTTGCCTCCGTCGAGACGTACGCCACATTCTCCATTGAACTCCATATTTCTAATTTTCATTGTTGTTGTCTTCTGGCCATTCACACTTCCCAAGATACGCATACAAACATTCTGCGTCAATCACCAGGTCGGCCGACTGTGGATGCCCGGTAGAGACCAGCTCGGTCTCGGTTGGTGGACAGCCTAGTTTAAATGCCTATCGAAACAAGCTTCTGGAGCTCGGGACTACTGTTCTTCTTGTCAACATTAGTTCGAAGAATCATAACCAGCTCGTCGAAAGTCTCGCACTTGCCGTAGTGTCACACTTGCTGGCACAACCGGCATCGTCGGAAACAAAAGTGTGTGGAATGATTCTGTCCACCACATGCAGCGCATGGATCGTAACTCGGTCTCTGGAAGCCTCGTCCACCACGGTTATCGTTGAATCTTGGATCATTGGTCGAGATCCACCTTGATCAAATCTACTTGACTGTTGTCCGTTATTTTGTGGACGCTTGTCGCTCCGCCCGAACGTCCCGTTAGCAGCATTCCGCTATTCGTTGTCGTTAGCAGCTGCAACCAGTCTCTCGTCTTGGTCGGAATAAGGATCCTCACCTTGAGTCTCGTCCTTTGAACCACAATCGCTGCCATACTCATCTCCATCAGCTTCATCACCCTCATAAACATCAATCGGGTCATCATTCGAGTAGTCGTTCGAGTACTCGTTGGGTCTTTCCGATGAAGCACGAGTTTGCAACTCGGTGATGAGTTCCGTCACGGATACATCGACCAGCGTGACACGTGAAGTATGACGTGGTTCACTGTGACTTCTCTCTTACTGCGACTTCGACTGCCGTGGCGTCCATAGTTCCCACTTGATCAAGAATGACGGTTATCATCACATCTAGACGAACTTTGACTTGATGAGCGGCTCGACATTCGCTTCTCCACCTTCTGGATGGCACTAACGATATCCTCAAGCGTGTGAATATCACGTAACTGCATCGGAGTGAGTTGTCGCTCAAGGTCTCGATCTCCACACGTCTCAAGAAAGTGTTTAGCATGCTCTTTCGCCTCACGGCCGCTGTGTTTGAACTTGAAGTTGGCACTTCGTGCACAGCCATTGAGCCGGTTCAGATAGTCGCGAATGTTCTCTTTCTTCGACCGGTCGCTCGATAGTACCGAGCGCTCGCTGATTGACGGAACGGCGAGCGGTAGTAGCTGATAAATTTGCCACTCAGCAAACTCCAAGTCCGCATCGTCTTTCGAGATAGAGCTCTGTGCCAGTATACGGCACCATCCCTGAGACTCGGTCGGAAGGCCATGCACCCTTCGTTGGGAGGTTTGTGTACCTTTCATCTCGTACACAAAAACCTCTCAACCCCTGTATGGAGTTCTCACCCTCATCGAATTTTCCACGGAAGGGAGCGATCTTGCCCAATGGTCGATGTTGAGCGATCTTGAACCTTGAAGTCGGATACACCTCTTCCATTGCTGTGAGTTCACGGATCTGCCGCGCCAACTCTGTCGTAGCGTCATTCTCGTCATCATCTTGATAGAATGAGTTGCCTTCATCACTGGACGAGTCATCGGCAGCTGCTTGACGTCTCGAGGAGCTTCGTCCAGTGTCAGGTCGAGTATTCGCCGTCGATTCCGTTTGCTCTGCTTCTCAAGTAACGCGTGCCTTACGGTTCTCCGACCTTAGCGTAACCCTGTGCGAGTCGTGAAAATATGGCGACTGTTCGGCTGAGCCAAACAGGTCTTCTTCGGCGTCCTTGGCAGCGGAATGTTCGCTGGATTCTTTCTCCGACAGATCGAGCCACCGGTTGTCGTCCAACACCAACATCCTTACTTCCAAACGCAGTCTTGAGTTTCCGTTTCCACCGCTGCAGCTCAGTGCCTGCTTCCGACGCAGTCCAGTCGGCGAGGGCTGTCGACGACGGGTAAGCGTGAGCTTCCATACCCATAGTCATCAACAAGGACACCGTGTCCTCTGCTACTTGGCTCGTACTCGTCGAGTTCACAGGATAATTAAGTTCTTCGACAATTTCAGCCCACACTACCTATCGTGCTATCTTCGGTGCGAACAGCTGGCTCCAGCTGCCGGTATCCAGCATCGCGTTCAAGCATTGACCAAGTGTTTTGTTCGCGGCTGGAGTGTCTCCATTGATCGACGGGCGGTTCCCATCCTTCTTCGTCGTGAGTTGACTCGCG